CACACACACACACACACACACACACACACACACACACACACACACACACACACCCTGGTGAGATGTGAGGGCTTGTGAGCCAAACAGGCAGAGGGGTATTTTCAGCACACAGCAGGCTGTCGTAAAGAAGCTGTGTCTCTCCTTCCTTCATTCCTGTTTGGGACATAAAATCTCCAAACTTCAGCTCAAACCTCAACCTGGCCCTGTCTTCTCAGAAAGTAACGCAGCAACTTTACAGTGGGTCTGAAAAAAATAATAAAAACCTTGGAGAGCCGGATCATAAATAAATCATATTTATATGCGTGGTGGTCTGAAAAAGGCCAGGCAAAGCAATCTGCTTTTAAAACAGATTAAAAAAAAAACAGGATGCAGCTGTAAACAAATCTTTAGCTGAAAATTATATCTTAAGAGAAACAAGTTCAGGATTGATTTTATTTAGCATTTGGATAATCTGATTTAAACACACTAAGATTATAAAGTCATTTGTTTTTCTGCTGATTATGACACAACATTTCCTCTAAAAGACAATAAAAACACAACAACCTTTTCCCCAGTAGAAAACAAAGAAAAACATTCAAATGGACTTAATTTCAGTTATATTAGAACATGGCTGCTTTCATACTCACATCAATTAAATCCGACAAGTCGTGGATGTAGTATTTGAAAACGGATGCGTTTGTTGCCTCCAGTGTCAGCAGGTACTCGTTCCGTGCTTTGATCGACTTCAGCTTGTTCTCCGAGTACTTGGCTTGGCGCTGACGAGAGTATGAGAAATGAGAACAGAGCGAGTGAGAAAAAGTCAATTTAATAATGAGAGAAAAATTACTTTATGACAAATGATTKTGCTTCGTTTTGTCTCCGCCCACAAAAGAGCTGCACAACTTAAACTGGATTACTGGCAAATAAAAGTCAATAAATAAACAAACAAAAAAGCTCAATTCTGTTATAATTATAAGGAGAAGGAACAGAAACAGTAATGTAACACACACACACACACACACACACACACAAATTTAAAAAAGCCTCTTTTTTTAGCTCCACGGTGCCTCAGTCTGAGTCGCTGGTCTTTATCCTACACCAGACAAACATGAGGCTGTTAGTCACAGACTGACCAGTGGCTCTGACTCATCATCATTCATTTCTTATGTCGAACGCATTCCTGGAAAAGTTGTGTAAAAACACACAATTCCATCAGTTTTCAGTCATTTTTCCACAGATGCTTAACGACTTACAAACCTGTTCTGGGAGTAAAATGTCGGCCAAATATGTTTGGCTGTGAAAATGCTTACAGTGGTTTTCTCCGCACAAGTCTGGGAGACTTTAGAGACAAAGAAGTGGGTCAAATTTACTCAGGGTTTTTTAGTCATTGTAAGAAGTAATAAAGATGAGAGCATTATGAAGCGGTTTAATATTTTAAGCTACTTTAGGATTACACATGGGAAGTGAGTCTTCAATATTGAAAGTTTAGCTAAAATGGGCAAACTCATAGAATTATTTACACAAATATGACTAGGTATTTATTTTGTTTTCATGCCATAGTGATACCAATTTGTTTCATAATGTTTTTGTTGCAACACAAAACCTACTACCTGGCCTGTTTTCTGGAAAAAAAAAAAACTCCAAAAACCAAAATCCAAAAAAGAAACGACTCCAACGTTTTTCTGCCATCGTAGTTTATTTTGAAACAAGTGGAAACTGTGGTCACGGGTGAGCTTAAAGGGGCAATATCCTGTAAAATCAACTTTTTGAGTTTTATATCATGTTATACTCTCATAAAAACATGCCCAAACCCTTGGTTTGACTCATTCATGCATGTCTGAGAAATCCTGCAGCGTTTTTAGGAAGCCATGCTGAGGAGCAAAACRACAGGTGGGGACCAGAAACGCCCCTGGGACGTGTCTTTAAGCCGAACTTCCTCATGGCAGAGCGCACCCCCTTCCCCCTCCCAACACACCCCGCCCATGACTCCTGCAGGCTGTCGGGTGAAACTGAAAGTGAAACTTAAACTGTCTGCTGAGGTTCTCACTCAGTGAAGCTCTTTTCAGATTCAAAATACCTTTGAGGAAATGTATTTTCAGACGCCAAGTGAACTGCATCATGGCAGCGCCACCCTCCAGCACAGAAATGGGCGAGACAGAAGCGGAAGGTGGTTATTAAAGAGACAAAGGCCAATTTCAAGGCGTTTAGAAGAGGAAGTGATGAGAAGATCATTTTATTTTCTATTTAAACATAAAAACAACATTTTAATAACAGCTAAAGGTGACATAGATACTTTATTATGTATAGTATTTAAATATATGCCTGAGAAACACATAATATTGTCCCTTCAACTTTATTACTTCACTGTCCGAATATGTGAATCCCCTCCATTGGACCAGTGAAAATAAAGAAATATAAATAGAATGAGCAGCAGCACATCTTTTTCTCCAAARCCTCTGCTTCAATGGGGGACAACAAATATTCGAAGTAAAATCAAATAACTGACGAATATTTCAGAATGATTTTGATTCAAATGGCCACACATATCTCAGAAGAAAACAAACAAAAAGGAACATTAAAACACTTATTCCATTTTATTAAAAAGGCCACAAATTTAACCAAAACTGTTTTGAATTGTGAAAACTGCTCTACCTTCTCTTTTATCTTCTCAATCTTCTTCTCCATCCGTATGCTGAACACAGGATCGCCCCGGCCAATCTGCTTCTCCTCCTGCTTCTCAGCGTCCTTCAGCTTGCTCTCAGCATTGATGCTCTCCGAGTGGTACATGTGGTACGTCTTCATCACCTGAAGATGCACAAAAGCGTTCACAAGTTGCACGGATTAGAATCATTGTTGCCTCTCTGTTAATCTGTACCTGCTTCAAACTGTGCATTCTGATTGAAACAAACTGTGTGTGTCAGAATATACGAGGCTGAAGGTCAGAATAATCCATCCCAGCAGTTAGGACCCGCAACTAAAGCTCACACACTTCAACCRGCCTATTCATCACATATCGATTCAACTCATCTCATATCCGCCTCTCCTCAAACCGCCTGGCAAGACAGATTCTCTCCATCTATATGAGGGCCCCAGGAACCACAAATCACTGCAGCTAAATCAAACTTTCAGCCTTTAATGTCAAAGATGGCGGCAAATAAATCTAGGGTTGCTCTTTGGCTTTAAAGGTGATCGCATGTTTAGCATTTTAAATAACTGAACTTTTCTCTTTAAGGTCAAAACAAATAAACTCAATTTAAGTAAATAAGTGTCACAAATAAAAAAAAGTTTAACTAAAGTTTCATAAGGTGATCATTGTGAAATGTGCCAGAGAGACTTTGGCTCATTGAGTGGTGAGTCTTTTTTGGTATTTACCATAAACCCTGCCTTTGTGTCAGTCTGTTGTTACAGTTTTGAAAACCCATGTGGCTACTTCTTTCAGCTTGAGTCATCAGCCTAAGTAGGAGTGTGTGTTACTCACTGAACATCTACAGATCTATTAGGCAGTGACTCACTTTTAAGTGGAAGGTAAACAATGAAAAACCATGCAGAGAGCACAGTGATGATAAGATGGGTATCATACACAAGACTGAAAGAAGCTTCTGTGGTTCAGCTGAAAACCTAAAATTGTAATGAACTTTTTCCTCTTTAAGTGCTTCTCTTTGTGTTATTTGACTATTTGTGAGGAAAAAAAAACAGCAATACACAACACGAGTGGTTTAACCTGGAATGAACCAACTCGAGCAAATTATAGCTCCAGACACTTTGTTTGAAATAGGTTTCTCTGAAGCAAACCTCAACTTCAGCACATAGACTCACCCATCTCCAAATGTAAACATCGGACCCGCAAACAGAGATATTTTTACATGAGCTGAACAACAAGGCGAAGCCTGGCTTGTCTGGAGTCCTTCTCCTACGGTGGGGGTTGACCTAACTGGGACTGGTTTAGAGATGGGCGACTGACCTTGGGTCCGGCACTCCTGCGTTTCGGTCAGGAGTCGGCCGCGACTGTGTTTACTTTACAGCTCTTTATAGAGGGACATATTTAGAAGCAAACCAGACCAGTTATTTCATTGGCAGAAGCTAACACAGAGCCTGTGAATGTCTGATGCAACAGCTACAGTGTGTGTGTGTGTGTGGATATGTGTGTGTGTGTGTGTGTGTGTGTGTGTGTGTGTGTGTGTGTGTCCTCCCACTGGGTGCTAATCCAGGTCAAATCAGTAGTGTGGACCGTGGTGAGAGTAACACTCATTAAGTTTCACTTTGACTGTGAACCACAGGGGTCCTCTACTACAGCAAAGGTCCACAACCTTGTGGCCAACTGTCCTGAAATTTCTAGATGTTCGCCTGCTTCAACACACCTGACTGAAATGAATGAGTCTTCTAATAAACTTAATGGTATTAGCTGTGTTTCCATTGACCACGAAAATGCGCAAATTAGAATTTCGAAAATAAATTTGCTCATTGGAAACACATCAATTAAAAAAAAATTATGTTTTTCAACAAAATGGTTTTGCGCTAGGAAGAGGTGGTTTTTCGGCTGTATCGAAATTGATGTATTTCGCAAAACTGCAATGGAAATACCTTTTTTGCATCACGGGAGTCACGTGATCAAGAACCGACTGTTTCTACCGGCGAAAAAGACGACAAAGAAGAAGATAGCAGGAAGTAAAAGTAGTAGTAAAATCACAGAATTAGTAAAAGAAAGTATTAAACTCACCGACTACATTTTCCCAAAAACGCAGCATACGTAGCCACTCCCAAGTATAAGGGGCTTGTCGCTCGAAAGCTTTGATAAGACAATGTCTCCTCTGATGGCTGTTGACRAGCGCTAGTGTCATRGTAGCAATATGCTATGTGTTTACATCCATTGCCGCCATGTTTGTAATGACTTCTCGCAAGAACAAACGTATTCACGCGTGACTTTAATAGCATTTCTTACTTAATGGAAACACCGCAATTGCGAAACTGTATTTTTTTCTACATTAACAGAATATCGACAAAGTTTTGYGCACATTTGCAATGGAAACACAGCTAGTCTGAGTAGGTAGTTTGTTTATTTAAACCAGGTGTATTGAAGCATGGGCCAAGAGGACCARGGTCAGGGGACCTCTGCTCTATGGTGAGGATGGTGAGACAAACTTTCACTCAACTGAGGAAAACACAATAATTGTGTTGACTTGTCTTAAAAATTGACGGGACAATTGGACACGGAGACCTCCACCCTGTTTAACGACAGGCACTTTCTCTTCACAGAAAGGGCTTCCTTTACTCCTCTTAAGCCAACAGTCCTCTCATCAAGGATGATAACATTCTTGTACAGTGCACACTGTTAAGTGCCAGAAGGACTGCAACCAGCTAAACATCAGGGATAAAGCAGCCACTGTTCAATGGCCCAACACAGAAGGACAACATCATCAGGCCAGGATGATTGTTAGACTGATGGTCCTCTGTTGCATGTGAACAAACAGTTTGGATTGTCATCGTTAAACTTGTTTATCCACCAAGTGAAAAAAACTGCTTAAGTGTGAGTTATTGTAACTGTTTAGATTGAAGATGAGACACCATGTTTTTTTCAACAAAGAAGAACTCAACCAATTTTTTTTTAGATTTCTCTACCTGGATTATTGAGATACATCAAGATGTGTTGACTTAGATCCCTYGTCACCATTACAATCAATAAGAAGGCTAACATAATGTTGATTGTTTGTCAATAATGGAGGAATGAACTAACAACTATGTACTTTTGTTTTGTTGAAAATGTTTGTATAGGTCAGTATAATTCACCTCCTGATACTACAAAAACATAAAMATGAGACAACAAGAATTAAAAAGTAAACAACAATTTACTCAACTTATCATACTTGGAGAATCAGCTGCAATTGATTTGCTCACAACATGTGGAACAGATTTAACTGAGGTAGTATGATAATAGCGGTAGTTATGGGAGTGGAATTAGCTCTTGATTAATGGTTTAAGTAGTTACACCAGCAAGGTCAGAGCTACACACAGTTGGCCAMGTTCCAAAGACATTGAACAATCTGAGCTGAAAATGATTTTATAGAACTTGGCCTGCAGATGTGCAGCAGGAGTGTGATGGTCTGTTGAAATGCAAATAATGCAACATTAGTGACATTTTTTTCCCCAAACTCATATTTTATAGGCAGCTAAAACATGGTCCACACAAAGATGTAAATTTTAAAACACTTACCTTTTCACATAGTCGTTTGTATGAAACTATATTTTGTGCTACAAGTTTACAGGACTTTAATGAAAACACTGTTTAAAAACAAACATCTTAAAACCTGGAATTAGATATTGTGATTAATAAGTACACTGCAAAAACTGTCCTTTTAACTAAGTCTTACAATCTTATATCAAGCCAAAAAGTATTTTTGATTTTGTATTGAGACTGATTTACTAAACAAAAGCAGAATATGTTAGATTATTAATCTTGTTAGCCTGGGAATATTTCCTTATTTCAAAAAATCTTAGCAAGCACAATTATCTTGCTGCACTCGCAGATTATTTCACTTAATTTGAGAAGATTCAGACTATAATCTAGATTTTTTTTTAYCTACTACAGTATGTGGCTGTCCTCTTTTTCAGTAAAAAAACGAGGTCTCATAAGTACACAATTTTTATTTACATTAATGTTTCAATAATATGGGCAAAACCTAAACCTTTTAACACATTAAAAAGGTCTAGACRTCTATTAAACTTAGACTTTTAAAGCAACTTTRGTATTTTTTCAGCTAAATTTAAAACAAATAAACATCCACCTCGTCTCATCAGTTGCCTCTTTGAACAGCTGTAGTCTTGGATCTTGATCATTTAGTATAATAGGACTTTTAAACAGCCTAGATCTCATTCTGGATTAGCATCCGGGGTAAACTCCTGAATGACCGCGACCCACGGAAACCCCACCCCATAATCCACAGGATTTATCTCCTCCCTTTTTTTAATAACTCTGTGTTTAGGCAGACTRGAACCTTAACTGTAGAGCTTTGTTACATGCAAAGTGTCCCGCTTTTTTCTCAGGGTTCTTTTCCATCTCTGATATCATTTACTGAATAAAGTCAACAATGCAAAAAAAAAAGAAAGAACCATTAAAAAACCTACAAACCAGCTGCTATTTGGCTCTAATCTCTCTTTGTTTTTGTTTTTCCTGCTAATGAGCAAGAGAAAAGTGATAATAATGAAAATCACACATAGGATCTAGTAAGTAAAGCCTTCACAAATGCGATACTTTAATGTTTCCATAACAAATGGAGAAAAGTGAGGATGACTACTAAATGGTTTTCTTCTATTAAGCAATTTGGTCGATTGCGTATTTTCTCTAAAGTGAAATATACAGTAAAATCAGGCAGATTACAGGATTATTGATGCCAAACTGCAACAAATACTTAAAAAAATACATTTGCTCAGTGCTAATCATCACAAATCACCAACCACAGTCAGGATAGATGCACTCAAGAGAATTAGTGGAAAAAAAGTAGTCATTAATACTTACTGTGTAAAGCTCATTTAGGACTTTCATTAAGTCTTCCTGAAGCTGGAACGCTATTTCCTTGCTCTAAAAAAGAAAGAAAAAGAGAACAAAAACCAATAAGACAAAACAGAAAACACAAGATTTTTTTTCCAGGCAGAAATATAGTTTGTTCAAAGTGTTTCGTTACATGTTTTTATTTCTCTGTATGTTTTATCACCTCTTCAGTGATTCGACACGTTCTGGATGCAGAACTCTGTTTTGAAACAAAGACAGAACTAAAACACAACAGTGCATTTATCATCTTTTGTAAAAAATAAATAAATAAATGCAAGGCTTCTGTGTGAAAATGTCATGAATAGCTTGCAAGGTTTCCCAACTAAATCATCAAACACAGCTTGGGTTTCACTCTCCACATGCTCAACACATTATCTGGCCTCCACGACTACAATTTCGCCCCAGTATGCTAACTCAATCAGCCGTGCCACAAGGCTGACTCAGTAACACAATCACACACATGCTCCCGTTAATGCCTCACACGGCCGTGGGATCCGGTTTAACAATGATGGTGTGATGGATTTAAAGGGGTCTTTTTTCTTTTAATTTAATTGCAGCACTTCCATATTTCCTTCACATTGACTCACACACTGTATCGAATGATTACGGGATTATGAGTCATGACAGTGAATTTTCGATTGCTCCACCACGGAGGATACCGCACGCTGGATGTTACCTGGATGATGTTACAGCTTTGGACCGCGCGCCAGGTCCTTTTCTAACCCCATTATCCTCAGACAAATCTCATTCTGGGAGCCGCTTGCAGCAAATGTCTGCAAGAAGGGGTTTCTGAGGGCAACAAGACCCCTGCAGTGGAACAATTGTGCTCCTGATCAGAAACAAAACGCTGCACACAACCCGAAGGCTTGGCTGTGAAATAAATGCTATGGATGTATATTGGAGGGATAAATCATGAAAAGTTATAGTTTAAATAAGCATATCTGTTCACAAGAACAAATTCTCTGAAGAGGGAGAAATGTTTTAAATCTAATAATAGCTGACTGTAAAACTGCTCATTTATTTCAGAGCTGCTGACTTAAAATATTAAATATTTAATGTAGATTTGAAAATATTAGACTTTACTAAAACACATGTCTATAAAACAAAACCAATTCATTGCAGTAAATTCTGTAAAATATCTATTTGATGCTTTTAGTTTCAGGCTAAAGTACGTCTGCAGCTGAACTTATGACTCGTTTTCATGCTCAGTCACAATCAAATGCTGAAACTGTGTATTTGACTGGATTTTGCATTTAGTTTTTGTTTGTGTAGTTTTTGTATTTTATTGTTTGTTTTTACACTACTGTMCATAGGGCTGCTGGCAATAATTCAATAGCAATATACAGCGGGTAAAATAAGTATTGAACACGTCACCATTTTTCTCAGTAAATATATTACTAGAGGTGCTAATGACATGAAATTTTCACCAGATGTTGGTAACAACCCAAGTGATCCATACATACAAAAAAATCAAACCATAAATGTCCAGAAATGAAGTTCAGGACGTTATGGATAAAAGAGGAAAGGTCACGTCACCAGTTTGGCAGAATTAATCGGCCTTTTTTTCAAAACAGGTCAAACAAAAACTAATGAATAATTATTGATACTGACTGACATCAAACCAGTTTGTTTTAAATACAGTCTGGAAAAAAACAAAGTCTGAAAAGTTCCTGTTGCTCCCAGGTAAAGCTGGGCATGTATACAAACAGCAAAGAGGATTACACTCTCAATTACCGCCTGCTAGGCTGGTGTCTGAAATTAGAGTCGCATTTGTAGACCTGGCTGATCGGCGACACCTTCCCGACCACCACACGGTGAGTTACCTGATTTGTAGCTCTTGGATAATCAGGGAGAAAACAGCCCATAAGCCTGGATAACCAGATCAAAGAAGGACCAAATTTGATGCAAGGTTTCCTCAGGGATGTTTGAGTTCACAGTGAAGAGCAGGCAGTAAAACCACTCACTAATTTGCAAAATTAAAGGATGATCTGTTCGTTTAAGAACATTTTCTTTTAACTAGAAATGTTTGCGTATAGATACTTAAAGACAGATCGACTCCTGTGGGAAAATTTAAAACCAACAATTAGTTTAGAGGACAAAAAAAACCTTTGACTCTCTGTCAGATCAGACACACATCAGCTCTTCCTCGTTTGGAAGGCCGGGCTGGGATCCAGAGCTCAGTGAAAAGCTTTCTCAGGGATCACATGAGCCGTGAGGCTGTGTGTGCGTGAGTGAGAGAAGGAAAGACAGACGTGGCAGTGGAGTGACATCGCATTCAAGACAAATTTAAAGAGCTTTTCTCTTGAAAAGCTAACACTTCCAACAATGCTTTGAACTCTGGAACCGTGTCCGCTTCAAGACTGTTGCTAAATGAAACACATAAACTGTGCACCTCAAATTACAAGCGATGATAGCTGTTTACCAAACGCTCTGTTGCACAACCAATGTCGCTGATTTAATTTGCACAACTTATCCCCTCTCATTTTAAAAGAATCTCGGTTGGGGGCTTTCCAATTTAGTCTAATTCATTAAAAGGTTCCTACAAATGGGTTTTCCCTTTTAGGTTCATACCATCTGCAGTTCAACCACATTAGAAAGATAAAACATCCCCCAGAAAAGAGAAGCCAAGGCAGCCTTTAGGGAGTGGTGGGTTTCAAATTGCCGCTGACATTAATCACGGTGCAGGAACGACAGCTGAATACCCTTCAGGGCCTGAGCGAGTGTGTGTGGCACTCGTGGTAAATCCTTGCCCTGCCACTGTAACTCAAACGGAGTCCAAATAACAAGCATGTGCACCATCTATGTAATACTTGGACTCAAATGTCAAAAGAATACTTAGGATTATTGAAAAATTATGCATTGATTTGCATTGATTGTTGAGCTTAGCGTGTAGCTAAAATGCACTTTTCAAAATGCACTGCATTTATTTAATCAATACGAAAATAATACTCACATTCACATTCTATGAATGACTGTTAGGTGTGGTGTGAAAACAGTCTCCAAAGCCCACATGTCAACAGGCACGAGCAGAAAATGCAGCTGTGTAAAACACACGTTTCATGAAGAAGCCTATCCTGGCAGAGAAGGTTTTTGCAATGCAAGCACCCAGACCAGTTTTCACCTGAAGCATGTGTTTGGGAAAGATTCTGCTCGTTAAATAACTTCAGGATGTGCTGCTGAAGCTGCTGCCTGATTGTGCAAGGACACAGACACAGGACTGTCAGCTGCTTTTCTTGAATGAGCTGATTTTATCAACAGAATAGGGTTTCCAGCAGATCAGTAAGCGGAGACTATTTTAAGACTGAGCAGCGTGAAAGAGAAAATAAACTAGAATAATGAGTCAAATAAAAATGTTATATCTGTTCATAACTATTAATATCGTAAGTGTGTCTGAAAGAGTGTTACATGGTTTAACACAAATATAACTATTTCTAAATGACAAATAATAGTTAAAAGAAAACAATTATTGTACGTAATTTATGTCTGAAAAGTGTTACCATTAGCAATGGCAAGACAGCGTGCACAAAACTATGGAGGACCAGTACTGACACAATTCGAAATAAAAGCAGAAATATATAAATGTACCAATAAATAAGTAATACACTAAAAATGCAACAATTAAATTAAAAAAGGGGAACATTATCTCATGTTTTATAATATAATTGACCTTCATATTTATTTTTCCCATCTTAGTTCCAAAAAACTATATATTTTAGCACATAACTTACATTTTACTGCTTTTTGTTTTTCCCTTTACTTGTGGACACATTTGTGTCTTCGAAATGATTATATTTGAATATTTTCTATATTTCTTTCCCACAAGTCTCTTTATTTTCATGTGTTGCTTTTACATTTCTCTGTCTCCTGCTTTTACATTATCTTATGCATTTCTGCCTCATTATGCAAATCAGGTGGGYGGTCCTTCTTGGGTCAGCTCTTCTCCTATTGGTCAGCAGACAGGAAGGAGTGTGCCATGTGCAGATCGACTGTGCATGTTTGTGCTGCCTCCGTTCAGCTTAAAGTTTAGTTTAAAAGAAAGGCACAGTTTTTCTCCTTGACTTTGTTTTAAGCTAAACTTTAAAGTTTATGGAAAAAGAAAAATGAACAACAAAAGATTATTTTAAAACGTTTACGTTTAAAAACAGTAAAATGTAAATTACGTGCTAAAATATATAGCTTATTGGAACTAAGCTGGAAAAATAAATACAATGACCAAAAACATTATAAAACATGAGATAAAGTTCTCATTTTTTAAATTTAATTGGTGTATTTTAAGTGTATTTATTTATTTATTTATTGGTCCATTTTTTGTATTTCTGCTTTTATTTCTAATTAGGACAGTATCTGTCTTCCATACAAAAGTAAAGCAAGCAAAGAAGCTGAACAGAGATTCACTCTAAGAAATGCTAAAACATTTAACTCATTTTCTTTATAAATTGCTTTATATTTACTCAGCTTGGTTTAGTGGAACCAGTTGGCATAATTGGATTAAGTAAGTCCAACATTTCATTTTTTAGAGTTCTACTTTTTCTTCCCTGTTTTATTGAGATGTTTGCCTGCTGGAAAAAAAAGTTGAAGCGGGCTCAAGTTTTAGGAAATCCACCTTGTAGCTGTATCCACAGGATGTGACATTCATAAATAAAACAGGGCAGAATAAAACAAAGAGCTAGCTGTATGAATAATGAAAACTGAATACATACGATCAGACCTATTCAAATGGAAAGAAAGCTAAAAATAAAGAGAGTACCCCGGTTTGACTCTTGTATTTTAAAAAAGATGTTTCTAAATAAATGTTGTCATTGTCGAGTTGTAATAAAAAATGTTCTTAACATAGCGCTGAATAAGAAAAGACAGTCAAACATGAAACAGGTCAATCGGAGGATGTTGATGAAGCAGCCAGGGCCACTCTTTCTGGTCCTTCTCCGTGCTTACATCACTCAGCACGGACCCTGAATATACAAGGAGAAACAAAGCTCGGGTCTTTGATGTGCTGGAAGGACGACAACAGTACAGCTGTCTCCTCAACTCTACAAGGAATCCCACGTAACATAGGGAGACTTCTCTGTTGTTTGGGCCTCATTATTGCAGCTCTGTTGAGATCAAAAGCTCAGGGAAGCTTTAATTAGAGGGCGAGCTGTGACCTCCCACCAGGCAGCTGTTTGTCTGCAAAATGTCACCTGGATCCACAAAGAAACTGCAAACTTTAAAAGGACCAGCGTTCCTTAATGTGGTTTTGAACTTCAGATTCCACCGGAGTAGTGATTCAGGTAACAGCAAGACAAGTATGCATTTATACCCCAAATTATTAATACTTAAAAACTCTTCAGAGTTGCACCGAAATGTAGATTAACATTAAAGGAAGTTGATTATTGGGAATATGAAGGAATGTTGGGGGACTATAGTATGACTAACCTCTTAAAAATTAGTCTAATTTTTCACAGCTGGCTTCCTAAGAAGAACCATAAGGATTAGAAAAGTGTGTGCTGGAGGTTTTGTTGTGTATTTGAACTAAATCCTTTTGCAGTCAGCTGAAGTTTGAAAACAAATAAATAAAGTGCATGTTAAATATGAAAGTAAACATTTGAGAATTTGCAGAAACTTAAGCGGATCAAGAGGAAGACGAGAGAAAACTAAACTGTGTGCGATCGAAACTGACACAAAGGCAACCCCACATAAGAATGAGCGCTTTGTAATTTAGCTCTGCGGTGCGTTCGTGCGACTCCCGCTGCTGCGAGGAGCTCATAATCTGTTAGGGAGTTGTCATCTTTGTGGTGGCCAAAGAAAAAAAAAAGGCAGCAGATTGGTTTTGGTCACAAAGCCATGAGAGAGTGGAGGCCAACTGATCTGAAGGTGCGGTGAACAAGGTTCTACTGCATTACTCTAATTCAGAAAAACGAAACCACAGCCGGCTCAGCAGAGTGACATCCCATCAGACGCGGAGCTGAATATAATTTCCTGCAGATCATACAGCTAAATATACACTGATGCCAAATGAATGGGTTAATGAAAAATGAAAGACTGGAAACTGGATGGGTTGCTGCTTGATCTGATCTCATGACAAATCTTGATCGTATTAGCGGTAAGTTCAGCTGCTTCCTTAAAATAATAAAAAATAAAAGTCATATCTGGCCGCTTCAAGTTTAGGCTTAATATAAACATTTTTTAAAGAAACTTAAGAAACTTAATAAGAAACACTTTCACTAGGAACAGATGTGTGCAGCGACTTGTGGGGTCCCTCAGGGGTCTATTTTAGGCCCACTCCTTTTTAATTTGTATATGTTGTCTTTGGGCTCCTGCTGCAAAAAATAACACTTTTTACTGATGATTTCCAGGTTTATATGCCCATTTAATTAAACAGTTACTCCCCTGGAAACACTCTTCAGTTGTCTAAATCAGTGGTTACAAACCTTTTAGCTTCTGGCCCACAAAATAACAGTTGTAARAACTTGTGACCCCAGGTATTAGTAAGTTTAAGTCTGCTTTGCTAATAACTCAGTTAAACATGGACATAATAGTATAAACATGATAGTACTTATATTCATTAATGATTATTGTATTTTTTCCCCAATATTTATGGTGAAAATATYCTATTAGCAATTTATTGGGGATCCTCACTTAATGTTTTGTGACCCACAGAGGGTTCCAGACCCCAACTGTGGGAACCACTGGTCTAAACGACATAAAAACTTGGTTGAAACCAATCGTTTTGAATCTAGTTTTGGTAAAATTAATCTCATGACATTATTTGCCATTTAGCATACAGCCACCCTGCTGTCAGGAATCTGGGTGTTCTCTTTGATGGTGTCTTTAAATTGGACAAAAGATCTTAGTTTTATTGTTTGTTTCTATATATTATTTTTAATTTTGGTTTCAATCCCTTTGGTCAGCTTTTGATGTTTTTAATGTGCTATAAAAACAAAAATGAGACTGACACTGAGTAAAGAAAGAAAATGTGGGCTGCAGTGAGTGCTTATAATWAAACTATATTTACTGCATAATATTTGTGTGCCACAACCGTTTTTATCCTTACCTTCTTTAGTAGTCGTGTGGAGTCCTCGCTGATCTGTATGAACCTCATGATGACGTTGTTGAGGTAGATGTCGCTCAGTGTTGCATGGTCCTTACTCTCCCTCCTCACCTGGTTCAGCAGCAGGTACCAACAGTTGACCGGTGACAGCAGATTCTGGTCTTTTCTAAACGAACCAAAAGAAACAATGTGATGCCAGGAAAATAAAATAAATACAGTCCCCTTCTCTACTCAAATCTAAGAGAACAAGAACATCTTTAAAATAAATCAGATCTGGGCAATTAGGTTTTTGTATTAATTATGAAGATTTTGATTTTTTTGCCAAACTCTGCAGAGTTGGTGCAGTAAGRCTACAGGGTAGAAATATGATCTCTCTCAGTGGTTCCAGTCAGGGCTGTGGTTGCAGCGTTTTGGATTAACTGAAAATTTTTCAGGGAATTGTTTGAAAACTCAGCTAAAATGATTTTGCAGAGGTCTGGGGTAGATGTGACAAATGCATTGCTTTGAACTGGGATACTCCTGACTTTTGTAAYACTATACAGATGAAAGGGGCCACCACAAACTGGGAAAATAGGGAAATGAAAAAAAAAAAGGGAAATTCTGGTTAAAAAAAAGTGATTCAAGGTTTCTCACTTCAGTGCTGGTTGCCAAAACCATTTCATATTGAATAACAACAATTTGTGGTTGTACGATAATTTAGATTTATAGAGCCAAAAACAGTGAGTTTTATAAATCAAAACCTTCCAGGCTTTTGTGGCTCCAAAACAAACCATTTTAACCTCACTGGTTTCATTTTCTGGTCATAAAGTCCAGGTGTACTCAACAAAACAATGGAAATAAATGAAACACAAAAGCAGAGCCCTGTGGAACACCAGTGCTAACTWGCATTCATGTGGAAGGCACATAAAGATTTAAAATCCGGACTGAACTATATACAAAAGATTTAAATCTGTCCAAAGCACTACTTTTCATTCCAATATKTGTAGATTTTTGCATTTAGATGTTTTGGTCAGATTTGTCGAGGTCATTTTTAACTTTAATACAGTTTTGKTGCTGAGGTGGACTTCACACAAACTATCTTTAGCATCTGAATGATAAAATATTTTAGGACAGCTAAAGAAACCACACATTTATTTTTAAATGAATGCAGAAATGAAAGTCTGCAGAAAACAGCGACAGAAAAAAAGAGGTTGAAGTAAAGAGGTAAGAATAGAAAAAAAAACATAAAATAAAAATAAAGGCGTCTGAGAGACGTTTCCTGCACTGCGCGCTGGCTGGTTTCAAGCTAACAGTAGGACATTGTCCAGGCCACAGTGAGCTGGGGCCCTGTGTAAGCACCGGCCTGCAGGCAGTTTGAGTTAATCTGTAACATTCCTTGTGCATGCAAAAACGCAACACTTAATACGAACATGTGTATGAGCCTGCATACGTGTGTGCGTGTGTGTGTGTGTGTGTGTGTGTGAGAGAGAGAGTTTTAAAGGCTGGGTCTTAGGTCGAGTCCTGCAGGAACCATATGGAGACTCGCCTCTGCTCCCTGGTCACAAAGTAAGTTTTCACTGACAGGCAGCACTTGTCAACACAACAGGTGAAAATTTGCTCTCTGCACTTAACTCAGCCCTGAACCAGCCTTCAGGACCGGCGACACATCTGCTGGGAGAGCAAAAACTAAGCAAATGAATAACTGATACTCACATTCCAGTCAGCTGAAATGTTCCCTGACACTTTGCAAAAACAGGAACCACATTTGAAAAAGGCCAAACCACACACATAAATAGCCAATAAATAAAAAAGAAGTGATTCCAAAACCTATAGTAGCATTTTCGCTGCACAATAGTGCAACACAAAATGTCATAAAACGAATCTCACCACATTTGTTTTCAATATGTATCAGGGAGTGAACTTTTCCATGAGACCAAATCTACATATAAAGGAACATGCTCACTTTTGCATGTGCAGATTCAACAGAAGTTCTTTGTTTTGTTAAATACATGCAATAAAATCATGATTGTTCAAAAGAATAAGTTAATATAAAGGCATTCAAAATATCTCAACTGGTATAAGCAAATTGGCAAAATTAATAAAGTACATAAATTGTCGTCCCGTCCCCCCCCAGAAAAGCTGCAGGACAGTCAGTGAGGTTTATGTTTTTTTTACTAAGTCACTAAGACCTTGTGAATAACCTGAAAAATAAATCTTATTTAATAAGATAACCCCGGATAGGCGGAAGAAAATGGATGGATGGATGGATAATAAGATGACATTAAATAAAATTAGGAATGCACAATATATCGGCATTAATATCAGTATCGGCCTGAAGAAATTTATAGTTATTTATAGTTATTAGAGGTTAGTACTGATGTTAAAAGCACAACACTATATTTTTAGGTTTTCCTTTTTATAATGTTGACAATGTTTAATCTATTATGTTTTGATTGATATAATTTAGTTACGTTGTGAGGACATTAGATGAGAATTTTGTCTGAATGCCTGTGATTCAGCCRTAGGTCAGTAGGGGGCGAACACAGGCATTGAAGAACATGTATAAATTGATGAACTTCCTGGTTTTTCGCCAGTGTGGTTTCCTGTCAGCTCCGGTGACAATAAACCTCACTCACTTCCAAAATTCTGGTGTTGTATAGTTTGATTCCTTCTACAAATCATTTTATTTAACAATGGTGGTTTTAATATCGACTTCAGTTTATTGAATACGTATTTTTCTTACAGGCCAATATTGGTCATTTTTTAGAATATCGTATCGGTCCAATATGTAAAACTGGGCCGATATTAATGTTCAGTATTGATTTCCCACTTTTTAGCTTTGTGTTTCTGTTTTGGGAGGGGAGTTGGTTGGTTGAGCGGTATTTTTTATGATCATGACAGTGATATTGATGCTGCGCAGCCAGGAATAACTGAAGTAGGAAGCCATGTCAGAGGTCTGGTCGTTTATTTACGGAATCAAAAAAAGACCCATGTGTGTTTGTGCGTATATGTATAATATAATATGTGTTTGTGTAATATAGATAAATAAAGGTTATCGGCCATAACACCAATAAATATATCGGATATCGATATCGGCTGAAATTTTCATATCGGTGCATTCCTAAATTAAATGTTTTACACTTCATCTGGACACAAAAAACAGATACTTTTTATGTATCTTTAAATATTAAGAAACATCAAATAAAACACTTGAACTTGTTTTTATCAGTGCTTGTGTTTCTTGGTCAACAAACTGTTCTACATTCGCGAGCCCTGCAGTAAAAGTGGCAACAAAAGAAGGCGAGTGCCGGACTCGCTCACAGCACAACACACTCGTCGACCTCACATAATGGCAGGAAAATCTCTCAATGTCATCATTTCCCCCGCTTTCAGTCCGGGCAGGAACTGGGTCAGACAGATTCCAAAAGGTAGTTAGACCCTCGAGAGGACTGGAACGCAGATTTAAACGGGGGAAATAATATCTGCAGAGAAGCAGTAAATTAAAGGCGAGAACTCATTAGCAACTTCTCCCCTGTCCGTGTTTGCATAGGTGTGTGCTCTCTCCAGTCACGCCGTGCAAATTTGTGAGTAACTGGGTCAGTGTCAACAGACTCGCACTCTCGTACAGCAGATGATGCTGACAAAGAAGGATAATTACCACTTTCATATGCAAGGTCATGAAGCAGGAGCTTTTTATCAGCAGAGGAGGCAAAACAGAGTGCATGCTGATAAAATCATTCATAAGGAATTCTAGTGATGGTCTAACATGAACCCTTACAGTGTTTGCTGAAGTAATGTGATCACTGTGGCAAAGAGAAACTATGATCACGCTCATTTAGAAACAAACCTTTACATTTTTACAATAAGATTTACATTTGAAAAATACAGCTAAGGAGGAAAAAAAAAGTTTTCTACCATCTATCTTTCGCTGCAGACTTTCTACTTTTTGTTGTCAGGAGTTTGCAGAAGTCCAGCTGAGCAGGAGGCTCCCCTGAAGCAGCCTTCGCTCCTCTTCAGATTTGAGTCGTTGGAATACCCCCCAAGTGGAAGAAAAGGCTGTGATTTCTGACATGCACAGCAAAATGAATTTCACTCCTGAGCAGGATGATGGACTGAACCCCTGCTGTGTCCAAATGTTTTCCTGGCTCATCGCAGTGTGAGAAATGCAGCTTTAGGTTTTTATAGAACATAAAAAAATTGTGAACTTTTTTTTTCTTGCCTTCCAACAGCAACAGCCTGTGTTCACACAGTAACACCAATGAGAATTTTTTGCTATCTTGAAGGGGACATATGCAAAATCCAGTTTTAGAATCAACATAATTAGGGGGGGGGGGGGGCTTGTGGAGGAATTTAATGCAATTTCACTTTACATAGACCTCAACTGAATGATTTAAATGTGAAAAAGAAGGATTTAAAAACATGACAGGTCTCCTTTAAAACAGGGCAATGTAATATCAGGTTTATGTGGCTCCACCAGCCGTACGGTTAATTAAACGAGAACGTGGAACCACTAAGGTATAGACAGCGCCAACCTCCACCTGTGTTTCGCCTCGTTACCTAGCAGTAGTTTAAACAAACACCCATGCGAGGAGCAATTACTGTGTTTATCATAAAGTGAGAACATTCCTAAATAAACCACGCAAATCAAAGCACTTTATATATATATAGATTTTTTTAAAGAAACATTATGAACTTGGCGAAATGCCTCTTCAGACTAATTGCCACCTTTTTACCTGCTTTTGTTTTGTTGTATGCAAGCTGGCTTGAAGTTGCTTAAAAAACATTCTTTCACACCACAGACAAATCTGCCAAAAAGAAAACAACTCCTGGGAATTCTAAGGCCTTGCTGTGTGTCTGTTTATGTGAGGACCAAAAAAAAAGTGTGTGTGTGTGTGTGTGTG